CATCCAAGATCCCTGTTCGGGCGCCACTTGCCCAAAACCAGCCGGTTAAGATGAACAGGGTTGGAGTCACGAGGAGCGTGATTAAAGAAATATAATACACCCGAAAAAGGTTAAGAGAGGCATGCAGCGAAATTCTGCAGTCCCGAGTTTATTCTTTCTGTCCTTTTATCCTCATTTTGCAGTGAACAGAAAAACAACTCAGCCTCAAGGCTAATAATACATTTTGTTCTGATTCATGTGTCACCTGCTAGCAAGGCTGTTTGCTCTTCTTAGCAGCAGCAGGCAAGGCCATCAGAATTGAAGTATAAACAGAGTCTTTAGGGAGGGACATTCTAGTCTCCACATCCCCGCTTGGACTTGGGGTACAAGGAATGATACAACCTGGTTTTGCTTCCCTTCAAACATCAAACCACAGTGATAAACAGCTCTGCACATTGGAACCTGGCACAAAATGGCTACTTGCATAAAATGGCCACAGTATGGCTTGCTACAACTTTACAGAGGCTTTGGTAGCTGGAGTTCCCTAGACAATCTGTCCTTTGATGTCTTGACTCTTGTTTCCGTGGGTGTCATTTAAAAATTAAATCCCTGACAAGTGCTGTGCAGAACTGAATCAGTGATATTGTCCACCTGTGAGGAATTTGTTTACTTGATGCTGAGATGTAATCCATACTGAAGGCTGCAAGTCTTTGACCTACAGTAAGTGCATCAGGTCCTTTCAACAAACAGAATTGTCATCTGCAGCTATTGTGGAACTCGGTCCTTCTGTTCTCATTTCTGTCACTGTTTACTTGATGCTTCAGGGGCTCTGGTGCATATATATTTATAATAGATCTTTTTTCACTTAACACATTTATTTGCTGATAATTTATTTTGTTATGCAACCTCCATAACTTGTTCCTCCCTCATTTCACATAAACTCGCTTCCCCCTCAGCTTCTTTTCTAGGAGATAGTTTACATTTTAAAGAGTATCTTAAAAGAGTAGTTCCAGGACCTCAGCCAGCCAGCCTCCTTCACTCCAGAAGGTCTGGAATCCATGAGGATTCTTCTGTAGTATCGTTGACTGAAATGTTCTGCTGTGGTTGCAGGGCTCCATTCAGATCATTTGGCCTCTCAAGAAAGGAGGCAGCTGTTCATGGAGACAGAGTTTCTGCTCATCTTGATTTCCGTACTTCCTCTGTAGTCCTAGGTGAATAGTGACCACTGTGCCTTAGGCCACTGACTGCACACTTTGAGGACAGTGAGCCCTGCATGATGAACTAGAAGGTAGAACACGCTGATAAGGATAATTAATTTGCATGTTCCAAGAAACTATGACTTGAAACCTCCAAATCAAATGAGGGTTTTAGTTCTCCATAAGTTAGCATATATCAAGACATTGTTTCTCCTACTGGTTGTAGGAGAAACACATTGTGTAGTGTAAACATATTTTGTTTATCCATTTGTCTGTTAATGAGCATTTGCATTGTTTCCACATTTCCGCTGTTTTAAAGAGTGCCGCAGAGAACATTACTATACAAATCTCTGAGCCTGTTTTCACATCTTTTGGATGTATATCCAGAGGTGGAATTTATGTGTTGTGTAGTATCCCTATTTTTCTTTTTTTTGAAGACCCACCGCACTGTTTCTAGGACAGCTAACCTATTTTTCATTCCTACGACAAGAGGTAAGCTGATGGTTAGATCTTGAAGAACTGACTCCACTCACTACAATGCTTTTATAACTGATTCTGTGATATTAGTATAAAATTAGTCTTGAATTATTTGCTCAGCATACATATTGAATAGGTATAGAGACAGGACACAACCCTGATGCACACTTTTCCTGATTCCAGACCATTCACTGCACCCTTGCTTTGTTTGGACAATAGCTTCTTGGTCTGATTTTAGGTGTTGTATAACGTAATTAAGTGTTCTGAAATTCCCACTCTTTATGCTCAGCAAATAATTCAAACAGCTCATCTTTATGAAGAAGAGTATGGCTGAAGGATTGGAAGAAGACTCTTCAACGACTTGTACTATGCAGATGATACACCTTTGCTGAAAATGAGGAGGGCTTGATAAGCTTATGCTGAGGATCAAGGACTAGTCTTCAACATGGATTACATATCAACCTAAGGGAAACAGAAATCCTCACAGCTGGGCCAATTAACAACAACATGATAGAAGATTGAAATTAACAATGATTTAATCTTACTTGGATCCACAATCCACTCTTGGTACCAGCAGTTAGGAGATGAAGAGATATATAGCAATAAGAAAGTCTGCTGTCAGGGACCTCTCCAGTGTCTTGAAGAACAATGAAGTCAGTCTGAAGACTGAGATGTGCCTGATTTAAGCACATAGCAAACCTGTGAACAACAGACCTGAACCCTGCCTATCCTTTACCATCCTTATCATCTCTGACACACTTGAGCCCATTGCTGCAGTCACTCATCTCATTGAGGGTCATCTTTTCTTTCACTGAATGGCCATCTTTTCTTGCATAAAGTACCTTTGCAAGGATTAGCCTCTCCTAATAACATGCCCAAAGCATGTGAAACAAAGGCAGCTCAAGTAAAGTATTACAGTGATTTGTGCAAAAATCTGGAGTTAGAAAACAAAAGAACTCATTCAGTATTCTGAAAGACTGAAAGAAATGAATAACAGCTTCAAGCCTCAAGTTGCAGTACTGAAGGATGCCATCGGCAAAACCCTGAATGACCCAGGAAGCATCAAAAGAAGATGGAAGGAATATACAGAGTCACTGTACCAAAAATTGGCTGACAAGGAACCATTTCAGTAAATAGCATCTGATCAAGAACCACTTATGATGAAGAGAGAACTTCAGGTTAAACTGAAAGTACCGAAAGGCCCCAGGAAGCACTGGGTGTCAGGTGACATTTTTTAGCAAACAGGTGTGGCCCTGGATGGCCTCACCAGACTATCCCAACATATTGGGAATACAACTACTGGCCGGTTTACTGGAGGAGATATTCCAAAGAAATGTGGCTCAACAGAATATGGATGTAGAAGAGGACATTGCACTAGAGATACCATCATCAGATGAATCTTGGCTGAAAATAGGAAGTACTAGAAAGATGTTTACTTGTATTTTATTGACTATGTAAAGGCATTTGACTGTATGAATCACAACAAATAACATTGAGAAGAATGAGAGTCCCAGAACACTTAATTGTGTTCATCTGAAACATATACTTAGACCAGGATGCTATTGTATGAACAGAGAGAAGGAACACTGGATAGTTTAAATTCAGGACAGATGTGTGTCAGGGATGCATCCTTTCTCTATACTTGTTTAACCACTATACTGAAGAAATCTTTTGAGAAGCTGGACTTTATGAAGAAGAGTGTGCCATCAGGATCAGAGGAAGACTAATCAGCAACCCCTGTTTATGTAGATGACACAGCTTTGCTTGCTGAAAATGAGGAGGAACTAAAGTGCTTGCTGCAGAAGATCAAGGGCTGCAGCCTTCAGTATGGATTCTACCTGCGCATCAAGAAAATAAAAATCCTCACCAATTGGCCAATGACATCATGTAGATGGAGGAAAGAGAGGTTGTCAGTGATGTTATTTTACTCTAATCCACTGCTACAAAGACAAACTAGTATGTCTTGGAGGAAGTGCACCCAGGGTATTTCCTTTAAAGGTAGATAGCACACTTTCATCTCATAGGCCTTAAGCCTGTTGTTAGGAGGGGTCAGTCCTTGGAGAAGGACATCATGCTTGGAAAAGGGGAGTCAGTGTAGACAAGGAAGACCTTCAATAAGATGAATTGACTTGTTGACTATAACAAGGAGCTCAAGTATGTTAGAGATGGTGAGAATGGCCCAGCCTAGGGCCAGGTTCAGAGCTGTGGTTCCTAGGGTCACTGTGAGTGGTACTCTCCTTGATGGCACCTAAACACAACCTTCCCCTCTGTTCTCTCATGTCCTTTGTTGTCTTCACCTGTACGTTATTATATAGGAGTGGATATATAGGAACTACACTTTGCCATTATAAAGCACACAGGACATAAAATCTAGACTTGTGAACTAAAAGTACTTGTCAGATGGTCCTCCTCGGCCATGAAATGCTTTCATTAGATGTTTTCCCGAGTGTGGCTCCAGTTCCTTAGGACCCTTCCTTGTCATACTTGTTAGTTCTCTGAGCGTGTCTTAAAGGGCAGGGTTAGTTAGAACAGGTTTCCTCAGCGTTGTTTATCCGAGAGTATCTCAGTTTTACCTCATCACTGAAGGATGTGTTACTAGAGGTAGTATTTGTCTCTTAATCTATTCGATGGTTTTATTCAGGTAGAATGCTCACGAACTGGGTAGCCTTAAAACTGTAGGTGGACAAGAGTCAGCAGCCTTTTATTGACAAAATGTGGGAGCAGAAGAACCTTGTATCTGATTGGCTTGTGCAGTTTACTTTTGAAGGACTGTCATTGGCCTAGGAGGCTAGACGTATGGCCAGATTCTCACTGAGCAGTGAGGGTGATCTGATGTACAGGAAAGCTCTGCTTAAGTTTGGATAAAGACCAGGGGCATGGTATGTTTGATTGCAAGTGCCATTTTATCAACTACATAACATTTTTATTTTGTTTAGTCTTTCTCCCTTTTGAACCAGTCTGTCAAAGGTGTTCTTTGATAAAGTTACTAACGACATTTTGCCTTCCCATGAGTCTTCTTCTGCATGGCCTTTTGCTGACCAGTGTCTGATGATGGCTTGACTTCCTAGACCTTTCCCATGCTTAGCCAAGGTTCCACACATAGCGGGGTGACTGAGGGACCAACAGAGAATGAATCCATTTGAGAATTATTGCTGGCTGGCCTGAGCGAGTCCAAGCTCCTTAGCCTCATTATTTTTACTCTCAAAGGCCACTGCCAGGCCCTTGAGACTACTTCTGCCTGTCCCCAGAGGGTATTTGGTGGGAACTCCAAGGGGCACTCTTTGGCCACCTGCAGCCTTCTGTCTCGGCCTCAACATCCTTGGTCTGTGCCCCTGGGTCTCTCTCCAGGTCCAGTGCACGTGCCCAGCCCAGACAGCGCAGCCCAGGAGGAACCAGGATCTGGGCAGGAGCCTGGACACCAGTGGGCCTCAGATGTCAGAGTGACACCCACTGGGTCATGCCATGGTAAGTAAAGGCAGCTGAGGCAACAGTGACTGCTGACCGTAGACGTTCCTAGTGGGGAAAATGCGTGCTTAGGTCTCTGGAAGAAGACAGATATTGTTGTGTGCATTCAAGTCAGAACCAACTCATAGCAGACCCTCCAGTGGGTTTTCAGAGGCAGTTAATTGCATGAAAGGAGATTAGCCATCCTTCTTCCATGGAACTGCTGGCTGAATTTGAACCGCATGCCTTTGGATTACAATGCAGCTTCTTACCACTAAGTTACTGGAGCTCCCTAGATTCAGTTCATGGTCTTTTCAGTAACTTGCTATGTATAAGAATGATGCCTTTGAGCTGTGGTGTTAGAGGAGAGTGCTGAACATCCCATGTGATTGTTGTGTGCCAGTGGGCTTCGAACAGGTTTTTAGAGGCTTGTAAATGTCATGGAAGGAAATTGCCTACCCATCTCCTGTGGAGCAGCTGGTGAATTTGAACTGCTTGTTTTTGGGATTTTAGTGGAGAGTCTTACCAGTACGCCACTCAGTGGTCTACCAAAAACCCAAATCTGTCTTGGAGAATGTGTAGCCACAGTGCTCCTTGGAGATAAAGATAACAAAGGTTCATCTCACATACTTTGGGCATATTGCTAGGAAAGGCCATTCTTTAGAAAGGGACATCAGGCTTGGAAAGGTAGTTAGCAAAAGAGATGAAGACCCTCGACAAGACGGATTGACACAGTGACGGCGGCAATGGGCTCGAGTGTGTCAGAGATTGTGAGGACGGCACAGGACAGGACAGGGATTGGATCTGTTGTTCACAGGGGTGCTTTGAGTGGTATTCAACTCAGGGGCATCTAACAAAAGCACTAGAGCTAGGGGCAGGGTTTTGTGGTAGGAGCAGGGCAGACCCTGAAGAAGGGCAGGTAGGGTGAGGGTAGGACAGACCAGGAAAAAGGGCAGGTGAGGCTATAAGACCCCTTCCATGTTGAGTCCTTGGTCTGTACATCCTGAGAGCTGCCCAGGCATATCCAGGGCCAGCACCCTTTTGGCTGGAGGACTGGGGACTCAAGTTGGTTTTTTTGGGGTTTTTTAAAAAAATGTCTTTGTGTGTGTGTGTGTGTGTGTGTGTGTGTGTGTACTGTCAAATTGGATCTGACTGGTACAGGAGGAGATTGCCCCTCCTTCTCCAGCAGAGCGCCTGGTGGATTTCAACCACATACCTCTGGGATTGCCGTTCACCTTCTTGCCACTAGGCCACCAGAGCTCCTTTGGGACCCAAGTTTTGAAATGATCATAGTCAACAGCAGAACACTGGTCAGATGTTTGGCATGGTACTAACATTGCAGTTCCCTGGGAAACCTACCAAGAGCTCTGGGATTCTGTCCCCCTGTGGTATGTTCTGTCAGCCTTAATACAAAGGCAGTTCCTGTCTGTCCTTTCACAAAACTGGGACCTAGCCCAGAGGCCATTTCACATAAGGGCCCGTGTCTTGTCTCGAGTCTGGCAGGCTGGAGGTCCTGTGCCCATGTTGTCCAGCACCACTTGGTATGAGTTCCTCCGGGTGGTAGGGATGTTACCCATTCTTAGGGGCCTCCTGCATCAGCCAGTCTGTGAATTTGGGCTATGGCCACCTCTCTGCATCTGGGAGGAGCTGTAGGGAGCCTAAAAAATAAGGCCACATCCATGTCCTCTCTCCAGACCTCATCCCCGTGCTCAGTGCTGCCTCCCAACCTTCATCCTCCAGGGCCTGGGAGGGGCTGAGGGCATTCTGTCCCCTCATCCACTGCCCGTGGGACTAAGGGGAGGCCTTCAGAACTTCTGCCCGCTGAGTGGGCTCTGCAGTCCAGATGGGTTCTGGACTCTCCCTGCAGGCTGCTGCCATATTCTGCCAGGCACAGGCCTGAGGGCACTCTCTCCCCAGGGTTGCCGGCCAGCACCCACGTTCTGTCCATGGTTAAACAGGAGCAGGATTCCTCCAGTGAGGACCCGTCTGCTTCCTCGTCCAGGGACACCTTGCCTGACTCAGGCCCAGGTGAGTAGAAGGACTGGTCTGGAGAGGGAGTGGCCTGCCTCCCAGGCCTGCCCATCATGCTATTGTAGCCTGGCTGAGAAGGTGCTTCAGTGTCCAGCTGTCCTCTATCAAGACCTGGACTCTCACGGCCCCACTCTTGAGCTTGAGTGCACAGGGACTGGGCTGAGCTGAGAGACCACCTTCCTGGCCTCAGGAAGGGCTTCTGCCTGTCCTGTGGTGGCCCTGGACTGATCCCAGAACTCAGGAGTCCACTGTGACCCCTAACAAGCAGACATGTATTGATGCCCTGAGGCCTTAATGGGGTTGCTAAAGGATGAATTCAGACTGTTGGACCTTTTCTGACAGAAACAGAGATCCCCTGAGTAGGCTCTGCAGTCCAGATGGAGAGCAAAGACCCAGGGCCCAGGTGATCAGGTGATAGATCTAGGGATGTCATCAGCAGCCCCACCCCACCCTTCTTAGACCCTGCTTGAGCAGGATTATAGTGACTGGGCCCTGGGCCCCAGATGCTATTGCCAGAAAGGTGGATAATTCCACCAGAACACTACAGATGCCAGGATCAGGCACCAGATGGGGGGACACAGAGGATAGTGTGGTATAGGGGGATAGGAGGGCGTGGGGTGAGGGGACAGGAGGGCGTGGGGTGAGGGGACAGGAGGGCACAGAGTGCCTTGTGCTCAGATAGTTGGGTGGCTAAGAATGCCTAGCCTTCCTCATCTGGCTGGTCCTGGGACAGTGTCCTGAATCCTTGGGTGAGCACTCAGGCCACTTGTACTTGCTTCTCTAAGCCCCCTACTCCCGTGCCAAAGACTAGGTGCTCCAGAAGAATTTGAGGGGTCACCTTCTGGCTCTCTGTATCTCATCAGAGCTGACCAGTGCCCCTGTACATAGCCCTTGACCCTGTCTTCTCCTGTGTCTGACCCCAGCCACCTCCCTAGGTCTAGGTTTGCTGTTGTCTCCTCCTTTGTCTCCCCTTTTTCTGTCCACTCATTCCACACCCTCCAGGAAAGCTCTGTCTCCAAGACCAAGACTATGTGAGTGACACCCCCTTGCCTGTTCCCCAGCTAACCATCTGAATGACTTTTTAGCCACCTACCAAGGCCAGGGCCTCATGGGCAGGATTCAGACTTTGTGGGTGTGCATGTGGAGGCAGGCCTGGAGGAAGCCCATGGGTGTGGGTAAGGCTTCCGCAGGGCTTGTGTGCACTTGGGATGAGTGGCCGTCTTTCACCAGGAGCTGGCAGCCTGGTCATCAAGACTGAAGACCCGTCTGAGGATGAGCTGATGCCAGAACAGCTCTTTGTGGCCGACTTGCCTGGCCAGGCCGAGTGTGGAAGCTCCAAAGAGCCCAGGGACAGAGCCCAGACGCCTAGCCGCAGCCACAGCCGCCCTGTACCCAGGGCGCGGCCTGTAACCTCCAGCGAGCTGCGACGCACCCTCCCTCGCCAGCGGCAGCGGGCCTTCTCCTGCCCAGACTGCGGCCAGAGCTTCCGTCTGAAGATTAACTTGACCATCCACCAGCGGACACACACTGAGGAGTCCGGGGCCCATGGCAGCCCGCCGTCTACGCTGGAGCCTGGCGAGGTGGTGGCATCCGGCCCTGTCATTGGCTGGCTGCCCGATGAGGCCGCGGCCAAGGTGTACCACTGCAGCGAGTGCCTGCGCAGCTTCCAGCGGCGGAAAAGCCTGCTGCTGCACCAGCGGCTGCACACGGGTGACAGCCAGGACTGGCCCACTTGTCCCTACTGTGGCAAGGCCTTTCGCCGGCCCTCCGACCTCTTTCGCCACCAGCGCATCCACACGGGCGAGCGGCCCTACCGGTGCCCGCAGTGCGGACGCGCCTTCAACCGCAACCACCACCTGGCGGTGCACCTGCAGGCCCACGCGCGAGCCCAGGTGGACCTTCAGGTATTTGGGGCACGCCATGGCCGGGCCAGTACGAGGACTGCTTCCCCTCGTGGTCGTGGCCCTGCCCAGGGGAGCTTTCTCGTTCCACCTGGTAGCAGTGGCCACGAGGTTCTTCGGAGAGGGCCAGACCTGGACCTGCAGTGTTGAGCGTGCGCACAAGTCTTCTCCCGCACCTGTTTGATTTTTCCACTTTTTTTGAAACTTGTTTTTCTCTGAATAGAACTGTTTTTGTTTTGCAAGTGCTCTGTCTGTTTCCAAAGGGGCAGGGAACGCTGAGGGCCAGAAGCTGAGAAACAGCCTTGAAAAGTCTGGGCGGATGGGTGGCGCCTGTCCATCTCAGCCCTGGGGACTTGTTTTCGGGGACACTCCCAGTCACTGTGTGGTCGGAACACTGATGGTGTAGCTGTACCCTGGAAGTCCCCTCGATGGAGTGGCAGAATACTTGGAATGGAAGCTGGTGAGGCTTGTCAGCCAGTCTGGGTCTCCAGGCCTTGTCACCTGTGGGTGTCTGCCTCCAGCTCTGGACTGATTGAGGGGGGCGCTGGGTAATGAGATATGTGTGTATTAGCTGACCCAAGGGGACAGCAGCCCGTGCTTCCTGTGTCCCTCAGATCAGGAGTGTAACAGGCTTAGTGGACAAGGTGAGGGCTCACCCTGAATCCCTGGGGAAGGACAGTGGCCTCTGGAGGAGGGGGGCAGTTACCCCATCCCTTGCAGCCCTGCGTACTTCATGGCTTCCACCGAAGTGGGGGCGAGGTGGAGTCAGGTGGACACTTACTGACAGCCTGTCACCCACTCCCCAAGGTTGCCTGTGCTCACAAGGGACAGTGACCCGCTCGCCCTTCCTGGCTGCAGCCTCCAGGAGAGTCAGGCCCTGACAACAAGGCTCCAGGTTTGAGATCTGGGACCACACGTTCCCCTATGCTTTTCTGTGCTGTCTGCAAGATCCTGGACCCAGGCCACGTTGTGTGAGGTCAGATACAGCAGCCTGCCTGCACGTGATGGGTAAGGGGGCTGGGGAGGGGTTGGTCACAGAGGGAATTGCAGTATTCTCGAGCAGCCAATGGGGAGCCAGGTGAATCCAGTGCAGGGAGGGGCCTGAGGGCGTGGCTTGTGCAGCCAATGGTGTTTGGGGCGTGGTTTCTGCGTCGCCAATGAGGAGCCGGTTCCCAGGCGGAGGTGGGTGGGGCGGTGCCAGCAGCGAAGCGCCCCCTTCCTGTCGCTGTGAAGGCTGGGAGATGAAGGTCTGGTGGCTCCTCCCCAACTGCTGTCCATGAAGACGCCGGCCAGTGGGCGGTCTCTGTGGGTGCTGATGAAGCTGGACACCTCACTTGAGGAACCTCCACACAGTGGAGCGTGTCTGGGGACAGCCTGCGGCTCCCCGGGCCTCTGCAGGCCCCAGCCCCTCCTCCACTCCCACCTGGGCGCAGGGGTCCTGTCCCGGGGGTCCTTCCGGCCCCCTACGCCGCCGCCTCCGTGATCGGGACAGGACTTGTCCAGCGGCCCCAGCTGCTGAGGCAGAGAGCAGAGCAGGCCCAGTGCTCCTGGTCTCGGTCGGCTAGCCCGAGACCCGCACACGCAGGCTGGTCGGTTCGTGGCTGCGCTGCGTTTCACGGCGCTGTTCCTGAGGACTGGACCGGCCAGGTTCCTCCACCTCGCTCGCAGGCCTTCCCGTCCCCGAATCGCGCGGATGCTGATGGCACACTCGTCTTCATAAAGTCTAGCTTCTCTAATTATTTGCTCAACGTACACATTAAATATGTATGCAGAAAGGATACAGCCCTGAAGCACACCTTTCCAGATTTTAAACCATGTAGTGTGTTGAATGCACCATGGACTGCTAGGAGAATAAACAGATTCGTCAGAGAGAGTGAAGCCAGGCTACTCGTTGGAGGCAAGGATTCTGAAGCTGCTTCTGACATACTTTGGACATGTTGCAAGGAGGCCCCAGTCTTTGGAGAGGGACGTCATGCTTGGGAGGGTGGAGGGCAACAGAGGAGAGGAGCGGAGATGGATTGACTCAGTGACTGGGGTAATGGAGGTAAATATGTCAGGCAGTAAGGGTGGTGCAGGGTTCAGAGCTGTTGTACATAGATTTGCTCTGAGTCACAAGCAACTCGATGGCATATAACAACATCAGCTTCTTGGGCCAAGTTCTACATAAGCACAGTTATGAGTTCTAGGATTCTCTTTCTTAATGTAATTTGTTATTAGCCTGACAGTCAAATGCCTCTGCATAGTCAATAGAACACAAATAGACATTCTTCTGGTATTCTCTGCTTTCAGCCAGCATCCATCTGTCATCAGCAATGATGTCCCTGGTGCCACAGCCTCTTCTAAACCAAGCTTGAGCTGCTGGCTGTTCTGAGTATACTCTTCTAGCCATTTTTAGCCATCTTCAGCAATATCTTTCTTGCATGTGATATTGTTAATATTGTTCAATAATGTCTACTTTCTGTTGGACCCCTTTCTTGGGAATGGGAAAAAAATACGGATTTCTTCCAGACAGTCGGCCATTTAAGGGGAGGGCTATATTGTTTTTGTGTTACAGGAGCAGCCAAACCTGAGTCCTACTTGCAAGCCCAAGTATCACCACCCATCTTAAAAACTCTCCTTAACAACAAGAAATTACAGCCTCTCTTCCTGTCAAGGGCTCCGTACGGGGGAGGCACAACTTTGTTACAGAAATGAATACACGGAGAATATTCCAATCCACCAGCATGCCTGAAGCTCAGTTCTATATTGTCTGCTGAGGACCACAGAGCACAGCCCTTTCCTGTGTGTATATTGTATGTTGTGTCTATGTTATTTGCATATTGTTTGGAGCCCTGGTAACACAGTGGTTAAAGCACGCAGCTGCTAACCAGAAGTCAACTGTTTCAACCTACCAGCAGTTCCAGGAAGCAAGATGTAGCATTCTGCTTCCATAAAGGTGATAGTTTTAGAGACCCAGTCAGGCAAGTCTCTGCTCTGCAGCATCCCTGGGAGTTAGAGTAGACTTGAAGGCAGTGGGTTAGTTTCTGTATATTCTCTGTACTGTATATGGTATATATTCTGCATCCTATAAAACAAATTCTACGTAACATACATGCGTTACACTGATGATACGTCTTGCTGGCTGAACAACTTGAAGTGCTTGCTGCCAAAGATCAAAGACTATGACTTTCGACATTACCATCAAGAATACAAAAATCCTAACCACTGGCAGAAAGAATCATGATAGATGGAGGAAAGGTTAAAACTGTCAATTATTTCATCTTGCTTGGATCCATCAACCATCAACACTGTTGGTACCAGCAGTCAGGAGATCAGGAGATGCATTACATTAGGAAAGCCTGCAGTCGGAGGCCTCGCCAAATTACTGAGAAGCAATGATGTCATTTGGAAGACTAAAGTACACCTGATTCAGACCATGGCCTTTTCAATCTCTTGCTATGCATTTGAGAGCTGAATAAGGATAACAAGAATTGATTCTTTTTAGCTGTAGTGTTGAAGAAGAGCAATGACATCAAGTTAGAACTGACCCATAGGTGACCCGCTGGCAGGTTTTCAGAGGCAGTTAATGGCATAGCAAAAGATTGCCCATTCTCCCATGGAGCAAGCTGGTGGCCTCGAACTGGGTGCCTTCGGGATTGTAATGCAGCTTCTCACCACTAGGCCATCAGAGCTTGGCCACAAACTAGTTTTTTGTTGGTTTTTTTGTTTGTTTGTTTTTAATCCAGGGACCTATTTATTTTCTTTTATTATTAATTTTAATGAAAATTTATGGAGACTTTGGATTTCCATTCATTCATTGTTGCACTTTTCTCCCTGTCCACCCATCCCCCTGGCCAAACTAGTTTTACAAATAAAATTGTAATATAATTCTCAGTGCGTGGTCCAGAATCACTACCTACACAGGGAATCAAAAACCCAGGAGTGAAATTCATCAGAAATAACAGAGCACACAAGTTAAATATAAAAAACAATGTTACCACTAGGCCACCAGAGCTCTTTTAGAAACACAATGCTGAATAAAAATACTGTCTTCAAAGAGATACAAAGTAAGCTGAAAAACTGAAGCAATGGAAAAGCATAAAAACTGTAGATTTGAAAGAGTACAAGAGAAGATAGATACTGAAAATTGCAAGCCAAGGCCCTTGAGGTCTTGAACTCACAGTGACGGATCAGCAAAACAGAACTACTGTTATTAATGGGAAATGGCCAGAAATTCAAGCTGGATTTATAATAGCATATTGAATAAGTGATGTCATTACTGATGTCAGATGGATCTAACGGAAAGTAGTGAATACCAGAAATGCTTACCATGATTTATTGAGTATGCAAAGGCACTCAACTGTGCTTGTTAGGAGAACCTATGAATAATGGACCTGAACTCTCTGCTATCCTGTGCCACCTTCACAAGCTCTGACACACTTGAGCCCATAGCTGAAGTGGCTGTGCAGCCCACCTGGTCTTCATCGCCTTCGTTGTCCCACATAACAATGACGATGTTTTAAAGAATAGGAATTCCAGAACACTTTTAACTGTGCTCACGTAGAACCTATGTGAGCTACAGCAAAAGCCAAAGAGGAGGAAATTTTTACCAAATCTTGCAGTCTGAAATTGACCAAACATGAAATCAAGATGTGTCAATGATAATTGGTGACTGGGATTCAAAAGTTGGAAACAATGAAGAAAGAATGGTAGTCAGAAAGTATGGACTTGGTAACAGACATGGGTGAGGCTGGAAATAGAAAGATTGAATTTTGTACGTTCAATGACTTATTAATTACAAATATGTTTTCTAAAAAACACAAATGGTGACTTACACATGGACCTTCCCTGATGGAGGGCATAAGAATCAAACTGACTGCATCTGTGAAAGAAGTCATCGGAGCTCAATATCAGCAGTCAAACACTAGGTCAGGAGTGGATTGTGGAGCACACCATCAGTTACTCATGTGCAGTTGTAAAAGGAACAGATGGAATGTGACGCTGGTGGTGAAGTCTGACTTCATAAAAGGGAACTATCCCCATCATAACATCCATAGCAACAAACAGCTGCTAGGCCAGACATGCCAGGCTCCATGCTCCTGCACCTATTTCCACCAATCATTTGGTTCCATACTCATTGTTGACTTGTATAATTTACTAACAGTTCTAGT